TTAAATTTATTAACTTTTAACCTTATACCAAAAAATAATTATTTTTAATAAATATATTACAATATATATTGAATTAAAATATGGACTAATTAATATATTTAAAAAAATTTAATTATTAAATAATATATAAAATTATATAAAAAAAATATACACAAAAGTTATCTCCATCTAGATAATGTTGCTTTTGTTAAAGTTCTTCTTAAGTTTGAAAAACTTTAATTAAACAAGGAACAGGGTAAGAGAATCATTTAACCAAATCAATCTTTATGCTTAAACAAAATCAAGTTGCTATTTATATGTGTAACAGGTACTTAATTATTGGAGGCGGCCGACTACTGATGTACTACATAAGAATATGCCTATGTGACTTTTTATTACTATAATCATAAGGAAATAGTGGATATCATAATGTCAAAAAAATGAAGAGTACATTTATTTATTCGATGGTACGCATTGGGTTCATCAAAGAGAGAGAGAGAAAAAAAAAGGGAAATTAGTTGGGTGAAGGTTGCGTTCAGGGATGAAACTACTGGTGAAGTTAATATAGGTTTTAGTTTGTCGGATATGGTTATTTTATTTGGATGACATTTACATTTAATACTTCTGGTACATCTCGTAAAATATATTTTAATTACAGTAACGTAAAGTTGTGGCTTATAATATCATGTTAATGAAAAATATATCTTTTCTATTAAATTGAAATGGCACGTAGAGCTATTTCAGAATATATGTTATTAAGGTTTTCTTTAGAATTTTTGGAATTTTAATTTTTAGTTTTTTTTTTACCTTTTTACTATTATAAAATATTTTAAAATATTAATTAAAATAAATTTGAAAGCAAAACGATCCTGTGATTCTCCTTAAAAATGTTTCATTTTCAGTTTTGGTCAAAATCATTTACCTTAGGAAGCAAAAATTTGAAGAGAATAATCTCTTATGGTTAAAAAATGAAACGCACTAAAATAGCTGGGTCTGCTTACGTCCTTTTGGACATTCAGATGGAACTAGTTTAGGAGACAGACTAAATAATAGGTGAAAAGACTTGAGTAAAATCTGGGAAAGAGATGGGAAGCTGTTTAAAAAAGCCGCGTGATGGATTTGTTTTCTCCCTTATTATGCATACGAGTCAATATATATTAATTCATTCAACAATATATGACTATGAGAATCTAAAATTTCATTTACCAAAAATAAAAAGGGACAATGTAGAATTTTCGTTGGAAGATAAAATTATATGAGAAAGTGTTTATTTGTAGATATTTAAAATTTTTTTTTAAAATATCTTAAATTATATCATTTCAATAAATTTACATTAAAAATTTAAAATAACTTATTTTTAAATTAAAAATGAATCTGTTTTTTTTTTTTATATTGTGCTTCAATAAGATGAGTACTTTTAAAAAGTTTTTTCTCTTAACTTTTTAGAGATTAAATTGATAAACATTAATATTAAATTATAAGTTTTTTTATCTTTTAACAATTGATATTTATTTTAATAAATATTTTATTATTTTTAAAATAATAAAAAAGATATAAAAACTAAAAAATAAAACACCAAAAAGTTTTTTTTCTTAACTTTTTAGAGATTAAATTGATAAACATTAATATTAAATTATAAATTTTTTTATCTTTTAACAATTGATATCTATTTTAATAAATATTTTATTATTTTTAAAATAATAAAAAGATATAAAAACTAAAAGGCAAAATATGTAAAAGTTTTGTCAAACAAAATCTAAGTTCATTTAAAACACTTATAGTTTTTTATTTTTATTTTTATTTTTTAAAATTTAAATAATTAAAAATTAAAATTAACAATTTTATAAGTTTTTAAAACCCACTTTTAAAAAGCAACAATATTATATTTTTAAGTGCAAAAGGTGCTCTAGTCCATTTATATCATAGGGCTCTTGACTCGAGCACTGCTTTACCAATTAATGGCGCCTCATATGGTCCCTTAGAAAATTTTACAGCCGAGATTGAAAATCCAATTCGAAAAAGTAAAACTTCATCCCTCCCCTTTATTTTTTACCCACAAAAAGGACCTCATTTTGTATTTGATCAACCATCCGATCCACATTCGCAAGACCCCATTTGAATACTACCTCATTCCTGGTATTCCAAATTGTTCATACCAGAGAGTGCCAAACAACAGCCCAGTCCGTTATTAAATTAGATTTATAGAAGGGCGTTCCGAGAATCAAACGCGCGACCTATTGCATCCAAAGCATAAATCATACCACTAGACTAGATTTTCAAAATTAATATCCAAAACCTTTAACTTTATTTATTTATAAAATTTTTTAACTTTGTTTTAAGGTTTCTTAATTTTTGAAAATTAAAATAAAAAATTTCAAATCACAATTATTTTAAATGGAGGGTATGTTATTTATAAGGTTTGATCCATTGATAAATAAATATCATTTATAAGTTAAATTTAAAATTTAAACTTTAAATTTAGTGTTTAAGGAAATTAAATTTCATTCAATGAAATTAATTTCTTTAAACGACTAAATTGATATTAAAGTAACACCTTTAAAATCATCTAAAAGTAATTAAGTTTAAAATATATAAAAGTTAATCTAATATTACTTTAATTATAAATAAAAAAAATGTTATAATCTTTTATCTTTCTTTTGGGTATAAAAAGGGGCCAAGCCCAATCTTGAATGCATGCTTAATTATTGTGAATAATAAAAACACATTCTTAAGCAATAAAATAAATGAGCAATCTTTATGAGATTGAAAGAGTAAATATCTCTTATCAATTAAAATGTCAAAATTAATATTAAAAAGATTTAACTACCTGTAATGAATCTCCACGCCACAGACGGTCCTGACGCAATTTGCAAGGGATTATATGGGATGGGAAACAAGCACAGATCACTCTTTCTTCCTGCAGTTGTTGCTAAAGTCTCAGTCATATCAAGGTTTTCAGCTTTCTTTCTATCAGCGAGTTCCCAGTCACTGATATAGCAAATTTGCAAGTGCAAGCTCAACATTGACTAGCCAAAGAAATCCCAGGACACATCCTCCTCCCAGCACCAAATGATAAAAATTCTAAGTTACTTCCAATTTAGTCAGCTGTGCCATCCAAGTATCTGTTAGGAAAGAACTTCTCAGCTTCGGTCCAATATTTTGGATCCCTTCCAATCGCCCGTGCATTGATTATGACTCTGGATTTGGCAGGTATCTCGTATCCATTAATCTTACATCTCTCTCTCTCTGCTTTCTCTTGGAGCCAGCAAAGGAGCACGTGGGTGTAATCTCAAGGTTTCTTTGATAACAAGGTTAAGGTACTTTTAATTTACGGAGGCCTGCTTCGTAAACACCACCTTTTCCAGCAAAGACATGCCTCACCTCTTTGATGTTGTCTGTTGTCAAGGGAATGTCAAGTTCTCCATGATCCTGAAGATCCAACAAGACATACACAAGATCATCTGATTCAGTCCATCCTAGACCTCTCTTAGCTCTATGTTCCATGATGATGTTTTCAAGAACCTCATCTACTTTCTGGTGCAGTGTTCTGGATTTAGGCCTCATTGTGTGGTTCACATGGAGCAACTTGACCAAAGGGAAAAGATCAACGAGACTCAAGCCTCCAACCAATGCTATATTGACTTCCCACCAAGGGCTGCCCTGGATATGATGGAAAGTGATGTAGAATACATCATCTTTCTAAAGTTGATCAGCGATCCTGCCTTTGATGAGATGTCTAAGACTAATTCAATACCTCTTCTTCCCTGATTGTTTTGAATGATCGCACCTGCATTGGATGTAGCAGCTCAGTTGTGGAGATCTTCCTCACTTGTCATCAGTAATCTCCATATGGCGCCAAGGCAATGTTTGTAAGTAATTAACTAGAGGGAAGGAAAACTTGGCCTGCTAGCAAAAATGGGGTCATTGATTAGTTTTTATCACGTTTTTAGCGGTTTCTATTGAGGAGACAACAGAGGTGGAGACTTCACCAAGTTGTAGGTGAATGACGGGACCATATTTAATGGCCAAGTCTCTTAGGCAGTGATAAGGAAGAGTGCCAATAAAAAGGTGGAGGTTTCCTATCAGAGGAAATTTATGTGGCCCAGGAGGTTGCTTTGATGAGGAGAATTTTCTCCAAATTTAGCCTAAAACCATGACTATGAAGAGAAAGGTCAGAAGGAAAGTGAAGTAGAGAACTTGGCTCTCCATTTCACAACTCGAAAGAGGTGAGGATTAATTTGGATTCTGATTTCCAATTCACTTTGAGTTATATCATGGTCACAAAACTGCGCATGGTAGGGCAGGCCGAGTTGCTGGCACAAGATAGGACCAAATTTCTTGGCCATGTCTTTTAGCTAGGCACCGTATGAAGATGTGTAGGTTTCCTATTCCAGGGTCCTGTTGGCTGGAGGTAGCTATCAACTGTAGTTGATTGATCTTTCTGTTTTTCTTTCATAACATATATAGACGCTATGCCTATAATTAAAGAATAAACAAATCAAATTTAGAGATATGTTTCAAGGCAACGTAACAGTACCCTTTAGAGCCCCTAGCATCATGATTCATGTGAAGAATCAACAAATCAAATTTCGAGATACTTGTCCAAACTACCCAACTAGAGAGAATTAGTTAAAGAAATCAAGTCCATAAGATCTCCAAATCGTTTCACGTGTCCTTATTTTCCACACTAACTCAAGTCTTTCAAGTGGTGGAGAAGCATGAATTCTGTGGAAGATCATATTCCGGATTTAAAATTAGCTTCGCCATTTTGAGGATGATTCACACGAAGAACAACTAGAGCAAAGGGCATTTTAAATAAATTAAGGGCATATAAAACATTACTAGGCTATATGGTATTATTACATTGAAGACTTGGGATAATGAGGAATGGGAATTACGCACAGATCATATTTTCTTGTCAGCGCTGCCTTGAAAATCTCAGTCATGTCTAGATCTTCAGGCTTCTTTCCCTCAGGGAGTTTCCAATCAAAATGGTAGAGCAAGTTTGCAAGTGCAAGCTCAATAATGGCCGTACCAAATGAGATGCCAGGACATAACCTCCTTCCACCTCCAAAGGGGAGAAACTCGAAGTTAGTTCCTTTATATATAGTCAATTGCTCCATCAGAAAATCTCTCCGGATTGAACTTGTCAGCTTCAGTCCAATACTTGGGATCCCTTGCAATTGCCCAAACGTTAACTATGACTCTGGATTTGGCAGGAATCTCATAACCTTTAATCTCACAACGCTCTCTGCTTTCCCTTGGAAGCAGCAAAGGAGCAGGCATGTGTAATCTCATACTTTCTTTGATGACTAAATTTAAGTAATTCAATTCAGGGAGCCCTGCTTCATCAACATAGCCTTTGCTGGAAAACACATGTCTTACTTCAGCTTGTGCCTTCTCCATCACTTTAGGATTCTTCATCATTTCTGACAAAGCCCATTCCACAACTAGAGAAAATGGTTCGCTCCCTGCCGTGAATACATTCTGAAATACATAATAATTTTATATTCCTTAAAGCAAAAGCAAAAGGAATATGGATCAGTAGTAAAAATATGTACTAACCATGATAAATCCTTTGATACTGTCTGTGGTTAAGGGAATTTCGAGTGCTCCATGGTCTTGAAGATTCAAAAGAACATCCACAAGATTAGTAGTTTCAGCTTCACCAGTCCCTCCAGTTACTAGGTTAGCTCTGTGTTCCTTAATGATGTTTTCAAGAATCTCGTCTACTTTTTGATGCAGCCTTTTGTGTCTAGGCCTCATTGCATGGATCAGATTTAACAATTTGATGGAAGGGAATACATCAATGAGACTCAAACCTGTAAACAAGGATACAATATCTGGGACAGTTTGCTTGAACTCTTCTTGTTGTTTGCATTTCTCACCAAAGGCTGCCCTTGCGGTTATGCTGAGTGCTAGAGAACGCAGCATCTTTCTAAGGTTAACCACAGATCCTGCTTTGGATGAGATGGACTTAATTAAATTGGACACCTCTTCTTCCCTAATTGATCTGAATGTTCGAACGCGTTTTGCACTTAGCAGCTCCACGGTACAAATTTTTCTTAGCTGCCTCCAATGTTCTCCATATGGCGCAAGCACCAAATCTGAAAAATTATAAGTTACTAGCTTGGCAGCATGGATTGAGGGTCTGTTAGCAAGAATGAGATCATGAGTTTTCATCACTTCTTTAGCGGCTTCAAGAGAGGAAACCACAAATGTGGATATCTCACCAAGCTGCAAATGCATCACAGGGCCATATTTGTTGGCCAAGTTTCTTAAGCAGAGGTAAGGCAGATTGCTGGTGAGGAGGTAAAGATTTCCTATGAATGGCAATTTTGGTGGTCCTGGGACGGGGGGTGGTTTTGATGTCGAGCTTTTGCTGTTGCATTTCTTCCATATCTTCAAGACCACAGCGAGGAAGACGAGAAATGCAAAAATAAGGGGAAAGGAGGTAAATTGGTTCTCCATGTGAAGTATGGCAGCCACGGGATTTTTGGTGAGATTGCATTTCTACACTCTTACTTAAATAGCCATTCGTGCTCTTGCACTTCCTTAGATGACTAAAATAAAGAGTGTCCCTATAAATAAAAATAATTAGTGTTTTTCTAATTTTTATATTAGAGCACAAGTTAATATATATTTTCATTATAAAATTATATAAAAAAATAAAATTTGATTTTAATTTTAATAATTAATTAATTAAATTAAAATCTGTGACATTAATATTAAAATTAATATTAATTTTTTTATTTTTATATAAATTAATAATTAAAAAATATATTAATTACACATCTAAGATGTATTTTATAATAAATCAAAAAAATTATTCTATCATACATCATCTTAGTAAACAAGATTAAAAGTTAATCATTTTAAGACTCAACCACAGCTGAGCATTATACTCCTGAGTGCAAATCTTGATTGGATTTGGTAGGTCCAATCAAGATGTAAAATAACATATGCCTACAATCGATAAATCCATGTGAATTGCATGATTCAATCAAGATTTAAGATAGCATAAGCCCATAATCCACAAATCCATGTGAATTTAGGATAACAGATGCCCATAATCCACAAATCCATGTGAATTGCATGATCCAATCAAGATTTGAGATAACATATGCCCACAATTAACAAATCCATGTGAATTACATGATTTTCTCATCAATACTGTTACAAAATTATAATCCAATTCTAATCCATCAATAGCATCCCAACGAGTAGCAAGTTTCATAAACCAATTGTTATGTGTACTTAATATTTTAATAATAATTAAAGGTCAAGCAATGATATTAACATACTAAAATTCTTTTTTTTTTTATCCTAAATTGTATATGTTCAAAAAAAAATAAAAAAAGAAAACCAGGTTCCCAATGCAAACAGCTAAAACTTTACAAGAATTTATGAAAGACACAGCTAAAAACCCTACATGAATTTATGAATGACACAGCTTAAACCTTACTTGAACATACCAAAGACGCCCGTCATCCCCTCCAGTTCAATCCCTGTGCAGCAGAGACCAGCAGAGAGCAGCAGGTCGACCCTTCTTGTCTTGAGAGATGGGAGCACCATCTCATGCTCCCTTTGTCGGATCGGAAGGAAGTACTCCATCTTCATTCTCGAAACCGGAGCTCTGATGTGAGCGGGTGGCACGGAGCTACCGGTTAATCAAATTTTCTATTATTGAATTTTAAAAATCATTAATTAAGGGCAAAAGTGAAAAAGTATTTTGTAGTTGATCTTCTTAAATTTATTTTTGGATGATCTAGTTTAAAATTTTATTTTTTAATTAATATTTTTAAAATAATTGTAAAATTAAAAATTTTATTTATATAAATCATGTAT